CGGCGCCCCCAGCTCTTGCTGCGCTGCAGCGCCTGGAGACCCTTCAGCTCGCAGACGGATGGGGAGGCCAGGGTGGCCCGAGTCCTGCGCGAGAAATTCCCCCGGGCTTCTGCCATCAGAGTCGTGGATATCTCCGGTAAGAAGACCAAGAGGGCTAAGACAGCTCTTGGGGGCTTTTTCCCCCCCTACCTACCTTCAACCAGGCCCTGCACTTTGTGAGGGCCGGGTTATCTTTTGCAACTTACTTTCCTCTCTCCACAAGCTGTTTGTGCTGTGATGACCCCTCCCCGAAAAGGGGTTCAGTTAATGCCAAGAATTTGTGGGTGCCTAGTGTGCATGCAGCCCGTGTGGCTCTCTGCACTGGGAAGGGGCATCGTGTATGGTTTGACCCACGCGCCTACTGGTTCTTTCCTCTTGCAGGTGGCTGTGGGGCCATGTATGAAATCCATATAGAATCGGAGGACTTCAAGGAGAAGCGAACAGTGCAGCAGCACCAAATGGTTAACCAGGTATGGGAGAGTGGGGCGAGGGCTGTGCTCCGCCCAAAGTGTGGGTGGCTGCACTTGGTGCTTGAGAGATTTGGGGCTTCAAATGTGCCACTTTGGGCTGGGACTCTTGCTGTAGGTCTTCAAAAGGGGGTTGGGACTCAGTGCTGTTGGTGACTGGTGGTTTGAGCTGAAGGCTGCCACCCTTTTTTTTTTTTTTTTTGGGCACTGGCGCAGGAGGGCCTTTTATCAGGGCAGCCTGGTGTGGTGGGAGGTGGGACTCACTGTTGGTGCTTGTCTGCTTGCGTACAGGCACTGAGTGAGGAGATCAAGAGCATGCATGGACTGAGGATCTTCACCTCCAGCCCCAAGCCTTGAGGCTGGCCTGAGTTGACCTTAATAAAGAAGCTGCTGCTGTGTGGCCAGTCAGCGCTGTGTGTGCATGGACACTGCCCCTCCGGGGGGGACTACCTGCTCGGGAAATTCCAAGTGCTGCATTTGCTTTTTGAGCATGCTCAGCCAGGCAGCACAGCTTCAGGCAGGGACTTTGGGGGGCAGGGGAGAACACACCACAAGAAGCAGGAAGGAGAAACTTTATTGCCTTCAAAGGAGGGGGAGGGGGGGGGGTCCCTTTCCTTCCTTCCCCCACCCTGTGGAGTTGAGATATAGAAAAGCTGCTACTGCTGGAGGCCCCTGCCCTAGGCCTTGCTGGACAGGGAACATTACCCTAGCACTGAGGCACTTCTGTTTTCCCCCCTCCCCCCACAAGCTGCCAGGAAGGGCTTTAAGGCTCAAAGTGCATCTAAACCCAAAAAGCACGTCAAAACAAACTATGCTGCTGCCACTGCCAGCTCTTCCCATGTGCTGACTTGGCTTCCGCTGGCTCTGCTCTTTTGGTCACTACGAGATGCTGAAGTCCAGAGGGAAACTGCAGCCAACCAGTGCAGTCTTCAACGAGAGGAGCAGAAGTGTATCGCACTTTGTCACAGCATGCTGTGACAATCAGGGACTTCCTTCCCCAGCCAAGAAGCTGTAAAACTCACACATTGCTTCCCATTTCTAGGCCAGACTAGAATTATTACATGGAGTTTAGAAAAGTAGACTAAAGGTGCTGGAGTCACCACAGCTTGGCCAACAAGTTACAGAGCTGTGGGGATCTGCTGCTGCTGTCCAGATTTTTAAGCAAGGTTTCGCCAAAGGCCTCCGAGACACGAGCTGGGCTATGAACCGCAGTCCGGTTTCTCTGGTTTGCACCGCTGAAGGCAAAGCGGAAATAGTGGCTGGGGGACGAAGCGATAAAGGAGTGGCCGAACGCGTCCTCCCAGGGAAAGTCTTATCTGTCTTTTGAGCCCAGCTTTTCGATCAGTTCCTGCAGAGGAGCCAACTCCCGCCTGTCAATCAAGTTGAATTCCTGGCAGGGGAAAAACAAAGCAAAATAAAATTAGGTACCTTGTAAAGAGCTGCCGGAAAACACCTGCCTTCACACTCAGCCGAGAATGCCCGTTTCACCAGGAACTGCCTGCATAAGCGCACGCCCGTTGTCCAGTGCTTTCCAGAGGAATCGGAGCATCCCCGTTACTACCGCAGCAGCAGAAACCGCCTCGCTCGATTCTTTTTGAGTGAACCCAAGCCTTTCGGGCAAAGATAAACCGCTTTAGGGCATCGCTGAGAAGCGCCACGCTCTTCATTGTTCACCACTAAGCTCTTTCTTTGGCTTCCGGTTCCCTTCCTGCAGGCCATCAACTACAACCAGAGAGGAAAATGCAAGCGTTTGCAGTCAACTCCTTGCGCTTCCTGCAAAAAGAACAGCCTGACTGCACAGGTCCCACGGTGGGAGCCGGCTCTGTCTTCCATCTCACAAAAACATTTTAATCGCAGTCTGGGCTTCTCAAAGAGCGAGGAGGCTCTTACAACCTGCTTCCCTGAAAAAGAAACGCAAGCGCGTGGCGACCAGCCACCTTCTGCAACTCACCTGCACAAAGAAGATAAAGTGCTTGAAGGAGGTGTTGAGATGCGCCTCCTCCTGTAGCCGCATGACGGAATCGAAGTGCTGGTGGTAAATGTGGGCGTACACGCGGAACAGCCGCTTCAGGATAGTCTTGGCCACCGACATGAAGTTCTTGGGAAAAGGGACGCCTGAAACGCACCGAACGTGCAGGGTAAGCGTTCCGGTTCCGTCAGCAATGCAAAAGCGAGCGGCCCCGGCCGCCCCCTCGCCTCGGGCCCCTACGGAAGGCGCGCTTCGTCACGCGACCGCAATTACCGATCTTTGAAGGAAAGAGAGTTTCGTCATCCAGCTGGTCCTGAACCCACGTCATCAAGTAATCAATGTACTTCGGAGCTGAGCATTTAATTGGCTTCTTTATGTTGGTGCCGTCTGCCCAATGGTATTCGTACCTACGGGGAGAGGGAAGGAAAATACGTTCTTGGCTCCGAGACATGCCTTTTCAGGCCCCGCTCCTCCTTCCTCTCCTCGGGAAGGTACGACACTGCAAAACAAGTATTCCCGAGACAAGACGAGCGCAGCGTTAACGGCATTAGCAGCGCTTCGCTTTCACGTCCGCGTCAACCCCTTCTCAAGCGTAACAGGAAAGTCGCAGTTAACAGCTCCTTTCTAATGCTACAGCAACCACTGCACCGGGGTTTGGCCCTCGAAACGTCACTCAACTTTGCGGCAACCTACTTTGACATCAAAAATCCCTTAAGATGAGACAAAACTTGGCCGAAAGGGGAACGCCGGGGCTATCTCTGCACCATTTAAGCCACTTCACATATGGCTTTCAGATACCGTCCGGGAATTCTGCTCGTCGTCAGCCCCCCGCCGTACCACTCGTACATCATGCGCCCCTCCGGTAGCTGCCCGCACGTGCGAGCTGATCGACTTTCCGAAGCAACGAACCCCGAGGCCGCCCATTAGCGGAAGGCTTTTGAAGCCACCGTTTCAAACTGACACGCGTGCTTATCAATCACGCCTTTCCACAGAACCAGGGCAGATGTTTACCATAGCGCTGAGCGGTATTTATCAGAGCTCTTCTGTGAAATCCTGTAAAAGCGGAAAGCGGGGTGGGGGGGGGGATATCGACACATTCCGATTGTGTCGCGTCTCAGCCGACAACAAGCGAAAACAAATGGTGCACTTTACACAGGAAGCGTTTACAGGAAACGGCCCCAAATATAGAAACAGGAACCTTGCGGTCTAGTTACTGCTAGTTAAAGAAGTGGGGCAGGATTTTACATGGCACCCTGCAAATATGACTTTATTAGCCAGACTCCACTTCCCGAGCCAAATGACAAATAGCCTCTGCCAACCATACTAAGACGACACACCGCTGTAGCAGGACATTCAACTCGACAAAACTACGGCATCAAAACTCAAGCGGCAAAAGAGTTAGCAAACAAATTAGTTTCTACCTGCAAGGAAACGCTCGGCACCGGACGTGGGAGGCTAAATTTGGCAGAAACGCTGCAGCCATTTGCAAGGTAGCGCAGAGCCATCATATACTTTCTCTCCCTCTGGATGTTCATAAAAACAGCCTCCTAAAGCAACTCGGAAAAACAGCCAGGCACCCCAAGGATGCAACCCCTATTCTTGTCCTCCTTTCAACCCACCCTGACCTTCTCCTGCAAAGCAGATACCTTAACACCGCATCAGGTGTCTTAAACTCACATCCTGAAAACCACCGCTTGCGCTTCTTGACCGCGTGACGAGCGCCACCAACGTGACTGGAGAGACAAGAGCCCCTGAAACCACCACGGGACGGCGCAGGCTTCGTGCCGACACGTGGCCTACGCTGGCCTAAAATTGCTTCGGGACAGTCCGACGGCACAAACGTTACCCGGCTTGATTTGATGCAAAGTTTAGACCCAAAAGACATTCACAAAGCACTTCTCTGATGTACATACTATTCCTTAGAATCTCCGTGATGTTCCCTTTCCCACTTTAGCTCTCCTCGATGGCACAAGCATCTGGCCACCCTCTTCTCCGCTGCACACACCACACGGTAATCCGACCCAGCTATTTGCCTATCTGGTGTCATCTTGCATTCCACCCTCTACCAGCAGCAGCAGCAATTGGAGCCGCTTGTACTTTAAAAAGCACGCTACGGTCTCTCAGAGCATTCGTTCCATAAGACAGCAGATTGAGAGGCTACAGTAAGACTCAAGAGCAATACCTGACGCTTCAGATCAAGTTTGACCTATCATTTTCCTTAGAACAAATCATTTTAACAAACCAATCTTTCCAGGTTCCCGACAAGATACAGGCCTCACTGATCAGCAGGGAAAAAAATCCCCACTCGTTTAACGTGCAAGACTGGCCAACGGCTACCGACACCGCGCGTTCTCCCTAACGTACTCAACGCTTTGCCCGTGGCCGAGCGTCACTGCGAGAGTGCATTCAGATACGTCTCGGTCTTTTTAATCTTCCTTCTACGCACGCCTACGTCCTGTCACGCAGACCGCAACTGTAGACCGAAGCAACCTTCTTACCTTGGTCCAGCAGACATCACCGGACAGCTCGCCTCTGTGCAAAATTCCGTAATGGTCCCATACAACATGTTGATTTGGTTGAAGAAATCCACCGCTGGAAAGAAAACGCATCAAGTTTACTCAAAAGGCAAAAGCGAAGCAGAAAGGTACCGTAGCGCTACTTCATTTTATTCAGCCGACAAAGCCTCTGAGGAACGCTGTCACGGGGCGGGGGTGCACCTGCACAAACAAACGTTCCCCTTCCGTACAATGCCACGCGGCCAAAGACTTAGAGACGTTTTGACAATCTAGGAATTTTACTCGCTCGCTCGGTGAGCTTTCATCTCATTTTTCGACTTAGGACTACTTACTATTTGCACAGCACGAAGCTTCTCTTCACCGTGGCAGTAAAGCAGCATGCAATTTATCAGGAAAAATCAAAAAAAGCCCCACAGAGAAAGCCTTCCCGTTTTTTCATTTCAATACAAGACAAATCAATTTCTAGCGCCCGAGTTTTCTTTTTGAAAGGCTACTTGAGAGCAGAGACCAGAAAGAAAGCTATCACCGGCCCTACAGGAGTTCGCACCATTTCTATGAGCGACATAAAGCACACCGCTCCCTATGTGCAAAAGGGGACTCCGGGATCAATAGCAGCCTGCCTGCGTACCCCGTGCCCTCTTCTCATTTTTCATAACTTGCAAATGACTGTTTCACCTTCTAGATGCCTTTAGAAAAAGGCTGGACAACACCTTCACCCACACAGTTTTTACAAATACAAGAGATCCTCTTTAAGCTGAATCTTGGTGGCTTGACTTTATGTCTCCCATTGCTCAGAAACTGCTTTTTTCCTTTAACATCTAAAGGAATCAAGGACAGGTAGAGCAATCACTAAAAGCAAATTAATTTGCCTGTAATTGTTCAACCATCAGAATTAACCCAGTATTTTTACTCCATGTGCAACAATAACAACATGAAAATGGAAAATAACGCCAACCTTCTAAGCTAGAGTTTAACGGAGGTGAACGCAGTTCCATTTTTCTCCCCGCGTGCTGTTTGCTGCTGTGATTTTTGCAGCCGATAGCGCTAACTACTTGCTTTATAGTTCAAAACATCAATACTGAACACTCGCACCCAAATACTGATGTAACCATTCAGAAATCTAATTGCTTTTAGAAGCCTGACCTTTAAAAAAAACAACAGCGTGGGTTTGTCTTGGGGTTTTGGGGTTGTTTTTTGTGCTTCCTGAGCTCAGCATCTATTCAACACAGGATCAGTTTGCTGTCAGGGCATGCCCTAAAAGTTACTCTTTCCTTTTATTCCAGCCTTCCTTGACACAGTTACCTACAGTATGTCTGGGACACAGATAAGAATTTCATTTTTTAAGGATGTAAACCAGAGATGTATATATAGGTATTTTTAACTCCACCTCCACGCTGAGCTGGATTACTCTTTCTTAGGACTCACTGTTAACTGCGATCCACTCATTAAGGTCTTCTCCCTCCGGCAACATAACCGCTTGTCTAAGGTTACCGCTCCCCAAAGTTGCTTCGGCATGTTTCAAGAGTTCATACTGATGGGAGCCTTCAGGAATGTTCTTCTTGGGTTTGAAGGTTTTCGAAGATCGACTGCCACTGACAAAAGAGAAACACGTTTCCAATTAGTCCTTCAGCAGCGTTCCCCTCTCAGAAATATTTAACTCCTGCTGCGGCTTTCCCTTCGGGTGACCGTATCTGCCCTTGCCGTCCAGCACTTTTAACAGAGGTTATATAGCAGTCCTGCCCTTTTCCCTCACCCCCGACACCAGGCCTCTCGTCATCCTCTTCGAGGAGAAGAGAGTCCACGTGCAGGCCAAAGCAGTTTTGACAGCTTCACAAAAAAGACACTAATTATGTGCTGCCAATTTAGCAAGAGAAATTTTGAATAGAGATGGTCCACAGTTACCTACGTTAGCTTTACTTGCAATTTTGGGACCTGACCCCGACTTTCCGAACAGGACCCTACCCGCACAAACCCTACAGTGGAACCACAGCCACGTGAAAAAAGTCCTATACTTTAGAAAGTATGACTACTTATTTTGCATTTGAGTAGCATTTATAGCTCCTTTTAGCCAAGGAAAGCGTTGCTCTGAGTTTCACATCTCTGTGCTTTGAAGTAGAACTTTATCTACAGAAAAAACAAGCCTAGAGGTGTGTGTGTGTGTGGGGGGGGAAACACTAATGTGCCATGATTAACTGTTGTTGCCTCTGTTCTTGGGGCAGCTTCTGCAAAGGAAGGACAGCTCACCTACCATCACCTCAGCCCCTGCTACCGGAACATGGATCAACATGCAAACAAAACATCGCTTTCCCACCCCCAAACGAAACATCACTTTCCCACTCCCGACTACCATAGGAAAGTAGCTTGTCAGGTATTCGAGTGCAAACATCGCTACAGACCCTTCTGCTGACACGGAAATCCTTTGCCTCGTCTTAAAAGCTAGCAGTCGCTCTAGCCACATGCCGAATTCTCTTTTCTATACCCTTTTCAAATCACAGGAAACATTTGGTGCAAAGAACCAGAACGCTGATTAACAGCAGTTGCCTTAAATGATACTGGCAGACAGGTAAGGGGGAGGGGGGGCAGGACAAAAAACACCACCTTACCCAACCACAAAACCAAAAATCTGTTGGCTGCTGCTACATCAGCTTTACTGGGGCAAATATGAGATACTTACTGCTCAAACACAGCGTAGGAAATCGCCTGCTAAAAATAGCAACTTCGCATACTCCAGCCCCGCAATGCAAATTGCTGCTGTGGTTAGTCTTCACATACTGCATAGCATGAACATCTGCGCTCATCAGACAAATCATTTAGTGACTCCAGACCCCAATTTCCCTGTCCCTAAAACAGGGATAACAGTACCTGAGCCTTCTTCCACAGAGCGCCCTAAAGAACATCCGTGACAAAAAACAAAACAAAAAAGCACCCCCCCCCCGCAACAGTATTATCTTCATTTCTGTGTACAAACGCTAAGGCTTCCAAAAACAGGCTCTACACAGGATGAAAGGACTGAATTCTTTTTAGACCGTGCAGCACGTTGCACACCAGAGCCTGAATCCTGAAGAGGAACTAACAATTACCACTAGCAGACGTCGATTTAAGAAGATGAACACAACAAGCTATGCGTACACAAGCGGTCAACTGCACAGCTACCAGGCTTAAAAGGGAGGAATTTTGATGCCTTTAAATCACAGCCATGAACCTTCAGGCACCCAACTGAGCAGAGCCCTCCCTGTCCCGCTCCTGGATTAACAGTCCAGACTAGCAGTCCGCTGCCTTCACCAGCATCACTTCTGGTTTCAGGAGGCAGAGGCACAAACGAAACGAACGGCAGGGCCCAAGTTTCTCCCGTTAGTCACTCAGTGGAAACACGCTTATCTGGCACACGCAGCTCAGCATCGCTGGCACCCTGCCTCAAAGTCGCACGCAACTGGACGCGCTTGGCTCACACGTGCCTCGTGCAAGCTTCTTGATGCAACGCTACCGCGGGACTGACAGCACTTCAGCGGAGCGCAGAGTGGGTGAAGCTATCTGTTTGGTGCAGAAATAAAGGGCCTTCACACCCAACTCGCTCTAAACCAAGCTACTGCCTCCTGCTACGCTACAGTAGATGCAGACCCAGCATGTAATTGACCCTGCACAAAGGCTCCCCAGCCCCTTCTCGCGCCACAGGTCACCAACTCCTTCTCACACGCGGCACCCAAGAGCTAGGAGCTACAAACATGCATACCTGCAACACCCTACCCTCTGTAGCTCATCAAAGACACATTTAAAACATCAAAGTCAAGCAGTCTCTCTGTTTGCACGCACTTCCTCCAAATCATTTGCCACAGCTCAACTTCAGCCCACGTATCAGAACAGGCATGTCCTGCCCCATCAACCTAGAGAGCCTCAGCCCGCCTGGCATACTCCTGCCTGTCCTACGGCATGTCTCCTAGCTTGCCGACACCACGCTCTCATATCCAGACATCGGTCCTCTGCACCAGTGGCCAGCTCCAGCCTGCTAGGCTATCACCTCCCCACCCCAAACAAACATATAAGATACACCAAAGTCTGCCAGCTTAATGCCTTTCCCAACTGCAATCAGGCTGCCCCACATCCCATCAGCACAGCCCCTCGTGCAAATACGGACACTGAGGGCACAAGCCCTTTCCGCTGCAGCAGCTCTTTTCCACACGCATACAGCAAGGCCCACCCAAATCCCACCCAGAAGGAAGCCCCACAGAGCAAGGGCCTCCCCTCCTCTTTTCTGCCTCATCCCACTCTTTC